TGGAAAAATGAATACATGTATACATTTTAACTCTCGGTCCGGATGCTTTTCAATACAATAAACTTAAAATGTTGAAAACGCAAACATTCAGTTTAACTCATGACTTTAATAAATTGACAGTATATACGCCAAATATAAAATTAATATAATTAAAAAACTGTCTGTGCTTACTTAATATTTCTTATTTTTCTTATTCTTAATATTGCATTCATGTTTTTAATATTAGTAAGTACGTTATACTGTGATCTAACAGCGCAAGTGTTCACTTTTTTAATTTTTTTTTATTTGTGTAACTACTTGAATAGGCAAGTTAACGCAATTTTGTCATAACGTTTTGAATAATGTTTTGAAGAATTAAATAACTACTATTTTGATTGAAAGAGAAAAATTTTATATAAGAAGAATTAAATTTGGATTGGAATAGAAAGATCTTTCAATAGGAATACAAAGATATATGTATATTTAGGTTTCATTGTACATAAATTAAAGTACCATTGGATTATATTATTTATTTAATTTGATATGGTTGATATGGGATTTAACTTAGCGCCAGTTGTTGATCAAATCTTTTATACGAATATATATATATATATATTGGATCATCTAAAAAGTATCCGCGGTTTTTTGTCACTAGATGGTGTTGATGGTCATATATCGGGCAACACTAATCCCATTGTGTCAAACGAACGCGCATCTGAAAGATGACATTTTAGGTTTCATTATTTGTAAACAAAGTTTGGTGATTCATCAATCGTGTCTAAAGTTATATTGGTTTGAAAATGAGTGAAATATCTGAAGAAATACGCTATGTGATGCTTTTTTACTACAAAAACGCAGCACAAACATGCAGACAAATTTATGAAGTTTACGGCGCGGATGCTGTAAGTGAACGCAGGACGCAGGAGTTTGTTCGATTTCGTTCTGGAAATTTTGATGTCAAAGATCGACCTCGCTCTGGTCGGCCAGTCACAAAAAGTCGACGAAATTTTGCAACTGGTCAAGCAAGACCGGCATGTGAGCTGTCAGGAGGTAGCCAATGCACTAAGAATCAACCATATGACAGTTTGGAATCATTTGAAAAAGGCTGGCTAAAGAAACTCGATGTTTGGGTGCCACATGAATTAACGCAAAGAAATTTGATTGATCGAATTTCCTAGGCATCCATCATGAGGTGTTACCATATGGCCTAACGATTAATTCAGAGCTCTACTGTTCACAACTGGATAGATTATAGGAAGCGATTAAGGAAAAACGACCAGAATTGATTAACAGAAAAAGTGTTGTCTTCCATCATGACAATGCCAGACCACACACATCTTTGATGACGCGCCAAAAATTGAGGGAGTTTGGTTTAAGTTTTGATGCATCCACCGTATAGCCCGGACCTTGCACCGTTTAACTACCATTTGTTTCGATCTCTGCAGAACTCTCTTGATGGAAAAACATTGGCCGACAAAAGAGCTGCCGAAAATCACTTGAAAAAGTTTTTCGCCGATAAACCACAAAAGTTCTACACGGATGGAATTATGAAATTACCCGAAAAATGGCAAAAGGTTATAGATAATAATGGCCAATATACACAGTGCAACAAATATATGTTCCCTGACAGGGCCTGAAAATCATAATTGAAACAACAATATGTATATTTTTTGGTTTTATTATTCAAAATATTCTCCTCTAGCTTCAATACACTTGTTACAGCGATTCAATAGTGATTCAAATGTTCTAGCTCAGTTTGTGGAATTGCCTCTAGTGCCTCTGTAGAAGCTGATTGGATGGTCGGAATGTCATCAAAAAAGCGTCCTTCCAATTTCAATTTCAATTTTGGGAATAATGAGAAGTCGCAGGGGGCCAAATCAGGTGAATACGGTGGATGATTTAACACAGAGACACGATTACCAAAGAAGAACCAAACATTGACGGACAATCAATGAAGTGTGACTCGGTGCATTATCATGCAACAAAGACCAATCTTCAATCACGATATTTTGGGGCGAATACGATGAATTCTGCCCATCAATCGCTTTAAAACTTCGAGATAATATGCACCAGTAATTGGTAAATTTCTACCTCGACCAAAATCTTGTTTAACATGAACTGTCATATCTTCGTTATATGTCAACTAAAATGAATGAAACTTTGAGAGATGATAGCAAAATGTTCAACCTTTAAAATGCATGTTTGAACGCACAGATGTCGCCACTGGTTGCTGAGATGTGGTTCGTGACCGGGAACATATTTGTCGCACTGTGTATACTTGATTAAAATTGATATTCAATAAAGAAAAATTTCATTCAAAAATTGAACAAAAAACCGCGGCTATTTTTTAGATGACCCATTATATAAAATACATATCATTAAAGTTAATATTACTTTCACCGTCCACTATATGACAAAAAAAGCGTTATTGTAGGAATGGTAAACAAAATTATATTATATCTCATCCTACACAGTTTTTAAAATATTTTAGAATGACTATCCTCTTTATTTCATTTTTTTTCCACTACACATAATAGCTTAAATAAATAACCACATCCATAAAAACAATAGTGTTCGTATTTCTCATCCACCGAAAAAAAATAAAGTTACTAAAAAATTGTTCACTATCCCATACGTTAAGTCAATTTCAAAAAGCTTTATGCCTCTTGCTCTTAAATTAAATTCTAAATTAGCTTATTCCATCCCTAACACTTTAAAAAATTACATAAAAAGAGGCAAAGATCAACTAGATTTTTTTCTTTTATCAAGATATTATTTATAAAATATTTTGCGAGGATTGAGATGCCAGTTACAGGTCAAACGAAGAAAAAGTTCAAAACTAGATTACAAGAAGTCAGATATAAAGAAAAAGACGGGTTCGCCATCTGTTATCACGAATCACCGAATTAATTGTAACCATGAATTTAATTGGAATAAAGTAAAAATTTTAGATAATGAACCCTCCTACAACAAACGTTTAATATCTGAAATGATTCACATGAAGAAATAAAGACAGGATTAAAATAGGCAAAATGACATAGAATTGTTACATGAATCCTATCTTCCTATTATACAGTCTCCTTCCCTTCCCTAGTTCTTCTTTCTCTCTCTTCTTTAATTATCCTTTCCCAATTAATTTTTATCCCCTCCTTTAATGTTTCCTTGATTTTTCAATACTAAGCCGGATAATAAAGACGTTTCATCGCAATTTGCTTCAATTTATAATGTATTTTTATATTCAGACTGATCTTACTTTTTAATTTTGAATATTAGGACGCTTTGTGAATTTTAAGATAATTTTTAATTCATCATTTTACTTATTGTACGATCTAATTATTTTCATACATTTATATTCTTATATCAATAGACATTAATTGCTTTCATACATCTATATTCTTATATTAATAGATTGATTGTCTCACCGTTTTTATAGATTTTGACTTTATGTTATTCTATCATAAATTAATTGGGATACATTAGAAACGACTAATCACCATTACTATATATGCGCAATAACATTGTTGAAAAAGGAGCCTCTTAGACTTAATGTCAACATGATAACTACAGGATACGATCAAGCTACCAATTTTTATGTCTATCAGAAATCTATATTTTTTTCTTCTTATTAGTTTTAAGCCCTTTATAATTTAAATATACGTATATCAATTGTTTATTATATGTTTAACAATAATAATAACCCGATCGGAGTCCAAATGTCGGAAGCGAAACGTTTGTATAGTTCTTACATTTATATACATTCTTTAGTTCTTATTAATTATATTATACTTATTATTTATATTCTATCCTTTTCTTATGGTTCGTAGTCTTCTCAACACAATTTGAAACTCAACAATGTTTTGAAGAGCAGAATAAGTAATAAAGAGCTTTACAAGAATATGTAATGAAAAATGGTGTTTGCGTTTAAAAAATTCATGTTCCTTGACCTGACTTTGGCAATGCCATCGAAGATCATAATAATTATTGCTATCTAATGTGCTTGCTCTCTAATGCTTCTTAAAACCCTAAAACTTCTATATGAAATTTTTTTTTGGAAAGACGTAGAAAAAAAATACTTGAGTGAAACATTAAAATGACTCACCCTGTATATGTATATATAGGTATACATATATATATATATATATTAGGTGTTGGAATTAATTCGTAGCGTTTTACAAGTGATGGGAAGTACTTTCATTAATGTATTTTTTAATGCTCATGTGAAATAAATAACATTCTTTCATTAAAAAACGCTACGAATTAATTCCAACACCTAAGGCTGGAGAAATATGTGCATTACTAAAGGGAGTACTTTGAAGGAAATTAGAGTAAATATTGTACATGAATAAATGTATTTTTGCCGATCAAGGTTCGATATTTTTTAAACACACTCGCATATATGTGCGTGTGCTAGAGCATGTGTGTATGTGTGTGTATATTATGCGTATTATTATATGTATATCTTATCTATAAAGTTATTATTTAAATTTAGCTCTAAGGAGAATTTAGCTCTATCCCCGCTCGTCTCTATCCACTCCATACATAAACAATTTATTTCCCTGTTGTTGCATATTATACAAATACATGTTCGCAATTTCAGTCCAACTTGAGTTCATAGATAATGCTTATGAACAGATGAGAAAATTTTCTCTAAAGAAAAACTTCGGAATCGACGTTAAACTGTAGGTCCCATATAAACTACCCATGTAACCTGCGCAACAAGCGCATCACAGACAAATAAAAGAAATCATCACACTCGGACACGAGCAATAGAACTAAAGAGATCGAATTATTGATTACTTTTTTAATTCAATTATATTTTTTCTTTATCATAAAGAATAACTCATAAATCTAACGTTATTCCATCTTTTATCTTTTATATTTCCTATATCTTTTAAAATAAAATAAAATAAATTTTTTTTCTTTTGATGCTATTTATTTGAAGGGTGTAATGAATCCTCTATACAAATATTGTTACACATTTATGTTATCGCATAAATAATTTTTTATAATTCATTTTTAAGATCCAACAAGAATGAAGAGCATAATAACACTTTATGCGATATTACTATTGTCTAATCTCGGATATAGTGCATCTACTCCAAAATGGTGGCAGTCAATGTCCCTTTATCAAATTTATCCTAGAAGTTTCAAGGATAGTGATGGTAACGGTGTCGGAGATCTTAAAGGTATTTTTCTTTTTCTATTTACAATAAAATCCTAGAGGAAATTATTAATTTTTATAAAAAGGGTGAGGAGAGAGAGCAGTATAATTACATTAATAATAAAAATATCGTTTTAAATGATAAGATAACATAACATTTAAAAAAATAAATAGTCTAAATTGTCGTCTTCGTATTCATTTTATTAAGATATCGTTACATTAATGTAATTTCATATCTAAATGTTTAGAAAAGAAGTTTAGGTGTTGAGGAATTTCATAAATTTAGAAATTTACAGTTCAAACAAGAAAATTTTGGTAAATATGCCATTTAGGGGAGGCAGACTTCGATACCCTTGACCTTGACATATGTTATGATCCTGAATGGCTTCCAGTCCTCGCTCATTATTCGTTAAAAAGTTATTAATAAAAAAACTTCATCAATAAAAAAAACCACAACTGTGCTCCGATGAATCAAATTTCCTGCTTTAACAATGTAAAATATTTTCTTATATAATTTCTTATATAATTCTGACATGGGAGAGATGGAATGAGAGTCGCTTCGCATGGAAAGTCATGCGTCCCTTGGTAGAAGGGAAGATGAGATGGGAGTCGCTTCGCGTGAAAATCGTGCATCCCTAAGCAGAAAGTGAGGTGGAGTGAGAGTCGCTTTGCATGAAAATCGTGCGCCCCTAAGCAAGGGGGGAAGTAGGGTGAAAGTAGCTTCATGTAGAAGTTGCGCGCTCCTCAGTAGGGGGATAGTAAGGTGAGAGACGCTTCGCGTTGAAGTCGTGTGCCCCTAAGCTGGGGAAGGAGATGGGGTGAGAGTCGCTTCACGTGGAAAGTTGTAAAATATACTTTAAAACAGAAAATGTCTGTTTTATATAGTAAAAAAGAGATTTTTCAATAAAAATGATGAGCTCTCTTTTGTTAATAACAAATGACGAGCGACGGCTAAAACCTGATGATAGTTATTCAGGATCGTGACCTTGATATATCAAGGTCAAGGCCATCGGAACTTCCCTATTCGGCATATTACCCGAAATTCTTTATCGAATATACGTATATAGAATCGATTTAAAAAATCTTTAATCCTCGCACTTTTCAGATAAAAACAAATTAATTATTAAATTTTTCGGAGGGTTGGTCACGGAGATAATTTTTGTACAAGGGTTAGATAATTCAGCGACAATCCAAACGAAATTTTGAGTAATCCAAAGTAATTTTTGATAAATATAAATAATCTTTAACGTTCTCAGATAATCTTGGGTAATCTAATAGGAAATCCTAAATAATCTAAGCGTAATATCAAATAATCTGTAGGTAATTCTGAGTATTCTAAAGTAGGGTAAAGATTGCTGTTGTAACATTTTTTCTTTAAGTTATTATAAATCTTCACACAATTACGATAGATTAATGGCAAACGTTTTAAAACGTTGCATGTTCATCTGGCTCAATATTTAAGTACTTATAAATCCTCAATGTAGCTCGTAAATAAGAAAAAAAAATACATTAATTACAAGAATGCAAAGTGGATCAATATGCCCTACCTATAGGGCATGTTGAGCATTCTCGAAGAATAAATCATGAAGATAATCGTTTAATGAGATTATACAGAAATAATTGTTTCAGAAATAGCTGATCAAACTTTTATTCTACTCATTGTAAGGATGAAAAAAAGTCATATAAACATGAATTTGGAAACGCTTCCTTTCCAAATTATAAACATTTTTTTTATTTTATACTCACCATATATTCATATTTTATTTTATACTTATATCTATATTTTATTTTATACTTGTATCTATTTTTTATTTTATACTTATATCTATATTTTCATTATAAATCAGTTTTCATTATAAGTCTGTGACCGATACTTCAAAATTTGGAAAAGTACACTGTTGTAAATACCACTGAGTAAAAATTACTCGTAATGAATAATCCACTGATAAGAAAATTTATACTCGTTGTAGATGATAAGGATGCAAAAGAGCTTTGTTTTTTTAATATTCTCCATATAGTTGAGAAAAAAACGTTTTGCATTTCTAATACGATCTGTCTCGTACAAGTCTTGGATTTTCTGTAACTCTCTCGTTTAATCACTTGCTGTTGATTGCAGCTGCTCGAATGGTTCTGCTTCATCCTCGATTAACTATATTGGGTAAGAAAAATCCTATTTCCCTAAATCGATGGATCGAACTGAAGGTATTTTTAGCACGGCATCATTTTTGAGGGAAGATTTATTGATAGAGACGTTGAGCTTCTCTGCAATTTCTATTAGCTCATCCGTGATGGATATCTGCCAATTCGATGTTAGAATAAGTTTTCATGTTAATGAATACAACCTTCACTTTTAAATGCTTAAATAAAGACTGATTCCAATTCCATACTATCTAATAACTCTTTATTTGCTTTAGAAGGTAAATAAAAGTATTATATAATTCATAAAACGTTGAAGTGATGCCGTCCGATGTAAATACATACAATTTAAATAGGAAATATTTATGACTTGAAAAGGAAGCGTTTTAAAATCCATGCTTATATGACTTTTTTTTCATCCTTACAATGAATGAAATATGCTCTTAGAGTTTGGCCAACTATTTTTTGAAACATCTGTATATAATTAAAAACATGAAAAGATTATATGTATATTAATCAAATTTTTATTACTTTCATCTTAAGTATAATAATTTGTAATACTCTGTTTTTTTAAATATTTTAATTAACAAACAAATTAGAAAAACTAAAATCTTTACTCTTTATAATAATTAAATGTAAAATATATGTTTAATCATTAACATATATAAACATAATAAAAAGCATTGATAAAGATATGTTTAATCATTAACATATATAACATAATAAAAAGCATTGATAAAGATAGATTTCATTTAAGCAGCTGAGTTTATAAGATTAATTATGAGATACTGGCGCAATAAGTCCCATATCGGTGTTGATTAAAATACTTTTTTATAACTGAAAAACCGTAAATAAAATAGCAACTTGAACATTAAAGTTAAAAGATACGATAATAATCCAGGTAGCCAAATCTAAAAGACAGATTTTAAACAGAATCTGTCAATTTCTAATTGCAGAAAGATAACAAATTGTACACAGAGTTTATACTATCAGACAATGTTAGCAAACTGCTATTAAAAATATGACAAAGCCTGATGGCATGCTATGCTAGCAAATTGGTGGCAAAAATCGAACAGAATCTGTTACATAATCTGACAGCAAATTGCGAGCAAAAACCAAATAGAGCTTGCCTTGAAAATTTTTCTCATAATTTTTATACAAATTGAAACATTTTTCAGAAATACTCAGAAATATTCGGAAAAGTTATATCTTCTCTCAGAATTTTTCATACAAATGAATTTTGAATATTCTGAAATTTGTCATCCCAATAATTTTTGAAAAATATTTTTAAATTTTTTAGATTTTATAAAATTTTATCAGAAATTATACTTACAAAAAAACTTAGAAATCTTATAATATTTTATAATTAACATATACGAAAAATTCTTACAATAAAAAAAGATGTAAATTTTCTGAAAAATATTCCAATTTGTATAAAAAATGTGAGGAAATTATAAAGTTATATAGAAATTCTGAAAAATTATATGAAAAATTCTGAGAAAAATTTTCACCAGGATGCTGACATAACAGCAGATTGACAGCAGAAACCGAGCAAGATCTGCCATTTTCATATACTCGCCACGAGATAAACTTCTCGTAAGACAAAACAGGAGTCCTATAAGAATTGGCGTATGTAAATCGAATCTCCTAGAAATTCCCAAGCTCTTTCGGAATGTGCTTTTTGAAACTCCGATATTTTTTTGACTATTTTAACTTTCTCATATGTATTTTTTGAATATGAAGCTAATCGATATATTAGGTATAGTAAAAAGAAATCCATTATTTTTCTAATAGATGGCTTTAGTAATCTGTATCTCGTCTACACGTGATACAGATTACTAAAGCCATCTATTAGAAAAATAATGGATTTCTTTTTACTACACTTAATAGTATTTTGGCAATAAAATTGTATTGACTGTTTCCAATTTTCACATTAGTATATAGTCTTCAAAAGTCTGGAAACGCTGAAATATCTCGAAAATCAACTCTTGCGAAAAATATATAAAAGCAAAGTTGTAGGACTTCAAACAATTTACTTAACTGATGATAAGAGGTTGACTTTGGATGAAGTCTGCAAGGTTATATGAAGTCAAGTTGAATTTTTTAAATAGGGCCCCCTTTTTTATTCTTATAGCTCATTTCAAGAGCTTTTCAAAACACCATAATAAAATTTTTTTTTATTAAGTACTTTCCGAGTTATAAGGCTTGAAAGTTACAATATTACCGGCGCGGCATTAGCATTATCCAAGGTGTCCAACCGATGGTTAAAACCTCTTGAATGTTGTTCAGGATCATATACTAAATAATATTTATCAAAATCAAGACCGATGGAGGTTATACCTCTTATTTTCATTTTTACGTAAAAATAAATTTTTAGTGCAAAAATGAAAATAAGAGGAATAATCTCCAATGGCCTTGATCTTAACAATGTTCCAGGACATGATCCTGAACAATATTCAAAAGGTTTTAGCCATCCGTCGGACATCTTGCGTAATGCTAATGCCGGCGGCGTACTTGTAACTTTTAAACGGAAATATTATTATAACTTTACCTATATTATAACTTATTATTATAACTAATCTTACCTCGAAAAGTACTTAATGAAAAAATATTTTATTATAGTGTTTTGAAAAGTTCATGAAATAAACTATAAGAATGTGCAATAAAAAAAGGGAGATTCTATTTTAAAAATTCAACTTGATCTTCATATGACCTTGCAAACTCCACCCAAGGTCAACCTCTTATCATCATTTAGGTAGATTTTTTTAAGTCTTATAACTTTACTTTTATTGTTCGCTAGAGTTGATCGTTTTCGAGATATTTTAGCTTTTCTAGACTTTTTAAAAAGACCCGTATATAAATATATTATATAATTATGTATAATTATGT